GTCCAAAAGACTCAAGCCTTCTAGTCATGTATTTACATTAATTGCCCATCTCCACTCACATCCTTTTTGGACACTAATTAGGTCGAATTCGCAGTCAAAAGCTTCTATAAACCTGAATTAATGGCAAGTATAAGGCCGAAACTTGACTTGGATTGTTTACCGTTGAGAGCTTCAATCATTTTCATCCGTTTCCAAAATGGATAGAGCATTCCCAACTATTATGAGGAACAGTTAGATGATGTGTACAATTTAGAGAAGGTTGAGTGAGTAACTAACGCCATTTAAAAATTAATCACGATTTCCGCCACTTTTGTACAGATCGATCAGCCGGTCTAGCACGGCACGCTGATTTACACCTGAAAAAAGTGAGAAGAGTTCGAGAAAACTCTCAAGTCCTGCAGTTGTGATGCACCTAAAGTATACGGAAGCCGTCCCTGTGCCTTAATTAGAGCCATAGTTTGATAAATCGCGCTAGTCAATGTGTTCTTCCATGGCGCTGCTTTTCTTGGCCATGGTAAGGTGGAAGATGCCCTGGTAGAGTAGGCATAGGGCATAGGCAGCCCTCTTATCGCCACAATTGGAACTCTGTTTCATGAGTTACAGTGGTCCTTTGATTAGTTTCGATTTGTTCTATTGGATTGGGATCACGGGAAATGAAAATCAGATGCTGAATTGAGCTGATCTTGATCTTTTAATATCATACCGTAATCCATTCTCACCTTGGAACACATACGGTGCACTGAACAGTATACCACATGTACCGCCAACGGTAATGCCGAAGAAGACATACAGTAGTAATCGATCAATAATCATTGCCACATACTTCCAGTCGTCTCGATACTGTAAAGATCAAACCTACAACGACAGTACATAAACATAAAGCCCTTCAGTCAGGTTTCGTAGCACTCATTAGGAAGGATTGAATTGTCATTAGGATTGAATTGTCTGAGTCGTCTAGGGGGTGGATTCATGAACAAGCTGGCGCACCCCTGACTTCTGACTTTGTCGGCGTACTAAACCTAACCACAAATAGCCGTTCTTCTCAACATCGACATTGGAGCTCTTTCGTTAACGAACTGTTAAAATCGACCAACTCAGTAATCATACTGGTGCATAAAAATCAGGTAATCACATCCATTGGGAGGGAAATTTTGAAAGCCGTTTTAATGAGACC